TGTGTTTCATCCATTGCCCCCTCGTGTCCCCTTCATTCCCCCCTTTGTGTTTCATCCATTTCCCCCTCGTGCCCCCTTCATTCCCCCCTTTGTGTTTCATCCATTGCCCCCTCGTGCCCCCTTCATTCCCCCCTTTGTGTTTCATCCATTTCCCCCTATAGTGCTCCTTCATTCCCCCCTTTGTGTTCCCTTCATTCCCCCCTTTGTGTCCCCTTCATTTTGATGGGACGACAAGGTTCGGGTCATTGCACACTGCAGGGATACTTGGTGAGAGGTGGGGGAGTGGGTGGGGGCTGAATATCGAGCGCTTCTTGGATTCTTCATTGGCCATGTTCTACCCATGGAATTTGCTGAGTCTTTACAAATCAGAGAGCCACGAACAAGTGGATCTGAGTGAAGTGGCGGCCTTCGTCTTCTTTGAGCTCTTGCTTTGTTTAAAGAAAAGGAGCTCGCATGAACTCTTGTAGCTTCGCATGTGCCGGCCCGAGGCAACCAGTGATCGTCCGAAGTGGATAGCAAGCAAGTGGAACCTCCCCCGAAAAGCAGCTGCCTCAAGTATGTCTGGATTGTTTGCGTTGGGCATGGGTATCAAATGGTGGCGCCGGATCAAGCGGCCACCCGTGTCCTTTCGTTCCCTTTGAGTTTCGCACCGCCCAGATCCTTTGGGAGCCTGAGAGCGGAAGAACAGTGGCTCCCTTGCACCTTCTGTACAGGTTCGTTTGACTGGTTCATACACAAGCGGTGCGTTTTTGCTGAACACCATCTTGCAGGTGTCCAAAAATAGAGGCTCCACACAGAAGCAAGGGGTGGCTTGCTGTGTTGAGCAGCCGAATTGGTTCGGAAATCTCTGAACAGCAGGCAGCAAACATGACTGAGATCCACAAAAGAGAGAAAACTAATGGCCGGACATTGGAACATCGTTTCCTGAATGGATCAAGGTGATTCTGGGATCTTCACCTCACCCAAAGACCAACTGAAAAAGGGATGGAACACGGTGAAAACCAGGCCAAAACCCCGGACAGGTCGATGCTTCGACACACTCAACTCACCGACTCAGCGACCTCCCTCTTGTCTTGTCTCTTTGTCGCGCCGGAGCCTTGTCTTGTGGAGGCGGCTCCTGCGGACCGAGCAGAGCTCGCTGTGTGCAGTGGAGTCCTTGAAGTTCTTGAAGCTCAACGCTAGAGACCGACAAAAAAATCATCAAAAACGCATATCTGAGATGCCACGAGAAAATGACAAATGCTATCTTTGCTTACATGCGGCCACCGATTGGAGTCCTCCTCTTCCGGCGGCGCCACGACTTGCAGATCCAGCCTCAGATCTCGTCACACTCTCGCCCATTCACGTTCATCCAGAACCGCCAGCAGGTCTTGATGGATCTTCCCTGAATAAGGTCTCCTTCAGGATGTTCCATCTACATTCTGCTGACCGCTCTCCTCCTTGTAGCCTCTTCAAATTGATCCTGCCTCTCTTCCGACCTGCCGACAGATCAGCCCACTATGGCTATGACCGACTCACTCACTCCACTCGACTCATCCATGCCTTCCCCCGTTGCTGGCCAACGTCTTCCACCGTCGCCCGCAGTACAGCCCAGTGGCTCTGGCATCGGGTTCACTGCCTCGAAGCGAGGAAACGAACAGATCGGCGGTCTTCGGTTTTTTTGGCGAAACTCAACTACTCGGGCGACGAGGGGGCGAAATACTCCAAAAAAGGGGTCTGCACATGTGGATTCCATGTGTTTTCATGTGTTGTTTTTGTCCACTCCCTCACACCTCACACGGAGTGTGTTTCTTGGTCAACCTGCCGCCCACGGTCACGCTGCCTTCCTTGTCTCTTTTTTCGGATTGGACGGCGGCAAGCCATCGGTGAGACGGGCGACCCAGCCTCTCGGAGGAAAGCAACGGAGCTCTGGCAGCCATGAGTTGAAATGGGTAGCCATAAGTTGAAACACATGTTATATATAAAACCATGGACTTACCATGTTTTTATGTAAGTCTCCATGTTCAAAGGTGCTTGGAATCGACAGGACTTACATAGGACTTCATAAGACTTCTGCTCGTTCCCCGCTTTTGTAGGTCTGGGCCACAAGGGACACGTGAAGTTCGATGTCTGTAAAGTCGCCCTTGTTCGATCTCTACACGAAACCTCCCGGAAGCCAGGCTGGGCCACCAGATGTGGATCATGTTGAAACAAAAAACTGGATTCATCCTTGAGTTCCTCATGTCTTGTGGGGGGCGCGATTCAATGTCTGTTCATGAAGCAAGAACTGTTCTCTTCGGTGCTCTGCTTCGAGTCAAGCAGCACCTTGGCTCTGGCCATGTGAAGCAAAAAAACGACGCTTTCGGAAGCAAGAACTGTACGCGGCAGTCACACACCCTCGTTGGAGCTGAGTCAGAAGCCGCTGATCCAGGAGCAACATCGCAACATCCAAAGCAAAGGATCGAAGAGATCCGCCGGCCATGAAACGTAAATGTTGTAAAAGTACCCAGGTGTGAGACAACAGCGAAAGAAGAATGAGTTGACAAGTTTCTGGCGGTTATTCAGCGCATTTGGTGGCACCCCCGTGTGATGTTTCATGGTTATTTGCATGGTATATAATGCATAATGGTCATCAAAGGAATGTTGGGAGACAAATGTGCTCAAAGCATGCCATTCACACAGCAAGCCACGTCTCTCAAAGACCTATCTTTTTCATTATTTTCGCGCATGGATCATGCTGTTTTTGTGATGTGATGGTGAACGGTGAATCTTACGGCAGTGACACAGCTCGAATGACATGACTGCCCTTGCAAATCTTCAAAAGAAGTGCTGTTCGCAGTGTCCACTTGGATGGCGATCGATCTTCTCCCACACAAAACTGTCAGTTTGGGCCCTGGTGGCGAGCCCGTCCACTGGCCAATCACAAACAAAGCCGCCACCAAGTCTGCTTAATCCCTCTCTGGACATCATGGTCTTTGCCTCAACGGCACACGTCAGAGCTTCCAGCACGATCCCAACAGTAGAGCTTGATCCTCCATTGAGTCAGTTCTTTCGCTGCATCACCTGTGGCTTCTTCACAAAGAGAATGCCACTATTGCCCCAGAATACCCGGGGGGTCTACCATTCTGCTGGTATCTTCAGGGGATTGTACTTTGGGTAGAATGTCACAGGAGCACTGACTTGCCTTCCCCGAGTTTGGGGCAATCAACTAAAACACTGGCTCCACTCGTGACAAGGTGATCCTGCATCTGCTGGGTTGGTCTGGACCTCTGCTGTGCTTCCTCCCAATCACCACTCACCACGGAGATCAGGCGATAAGAGGGGGAAGTTGGATCAGCCCAGAGAACGGCTTGGCGGTGTTCCATGTCTTCCATGGGGGTATCCAGGTTCAAACGCAAGCAACAAAGTACAGCACAGTAAATTACGACCTCACGGTTCATCATCAACTTGGCAGTGGTGATCAAGATCCGAAAATCACGATGAGAAAAAGAAGTGAGAGACAAACACCAATTCGAACGAAGAAGTGTTTTTCGTGAGGAGACCGCCCCCCCTTCTAACGCGCCAATAGGATGCCGATGCCCGTGCCCTTCTCTCGGGTCGATCCAGCTTCATTCTCTGCAACGGTCGATTCCTGCACTCCGATTCGGAGTCACAGGTTACGGCTCGAATCAGATCCAGGCACGCGCTCGGCATGGGCGCTGTTTCGCTTCCAGGACTTGACGAATGGGTCAGATGGGTCATGGTCACCACGGTCGGTCGCGAGACCCTGGACGCTGAGGAAGGCGAATTCTTGATGCAGCTCATTCGCAGAAGGCGCTGCGCTTCGCTTAGAGTGCTTCGAGAGAGGCACGCGAAATCAATCAACTGAGAAGGCGAAGAAAACTCGAGAGCGAGCGACATCAACCAGCTGAGCATCTCTGGGCACAGGTCAGCTCTCCCATCCAGGATCCATCCGGGAACACGGTCCGTTGCGGAGGACATGGAACGCAAAAAATCAAGCCAGGTTCGTTTTCACTAGCATTTTGGGTGAAGTAGCTGACAACCCAATTGGCCATCGTCCCAGAGTCTTCACTCTGGATAGGGAGATCAAATCAGCCGAATACGCCAGAAGTTCATTCTTCATGCAAGCGGTTGAGGAAGGAAGGCAGTTAATTCAAAACTTGAAGATTTGTGAGTATTTGTGAGTGCTCAGACCCACGAAATATTAGGGACGTCGCTTGAGTTGTCATGAGTCAAACTCCTTCTTGCCACTCTTTGTGAATCTCTGAATGCCGAAGCTTCAATCCTAAAGAGCGAAAAATTCTCTGCAAAGCCAATAGGGGAGTGATATCTTGAACCCTCAAACAGCCGGATATTCATGCGGGGATAACTCAATCGTTGGCGGATGAAGATCCCAGTTTGAGTCTTCACAGAACACCTTCATGGTCGCCCATGGCATCACTGTCTTCCTCTCTCTGATGGTCTCAGCTTGAATCCATGCCTCAGCGCTTCTCTGACTGGGTCAGCTTGGCATCCAAGGCATGCATAGGCTAGGTATCGTAACAGTCTCATAGGTCCCTTTGACCCCTTGCTTTGTCAAACATAAAGACCCCCATCCAAAAAGAGCTGCTCGAACGGAAAATCCACCAATAAAACTTGAACAGAGCCAGCAAAAGGAAACCCACATCCCTTCCCTGAAGACCCCAAAAAAACCCTCACCGAGAAAATCCCAAACAGCCCGAATCCCCTCGCTGGGCTGGGCTGGCCCTTCAAGGCATCCTTCAAAGCGTTCCTGGCGGACCCGGTGGCGGACCGGAGGAACACACGGCACCACGCCGTTCAGTCGGTTTCACCGCAAGGCTCCGTGCTTCCATCTGTGTTGGCACCACGTGGGGGTCTTGGGCAAAAACTCCAAGCTTTTCTGGCGATATCACACTGATGCCGCTAGAATCCAGAACTACTGCTTCAGAGATCCTCCAGGAACTCATCCATGACGTACTAGCTCGTTGTTGCTTCCTGTGGTGTAGTGTATTGTACTTGTGGTTTGCATCGCACTGGGTTGTTGAATGATATTGAATGTGCCAGCACATAATTCTTCTCCTGGAAAGCATCCGAAAAGCGAGACCCAAAAAAGCTGCAGTTCCACTTTGGAAAGGAAAACCCGGTCCTCTCCAATTTCCCGACATCTTTCTTTCAAACAACTCTACTCTACTCCTCAAAGCCTGTTCGGCCGATTGTCGATTCGGTCGATCCCCACAGTCCCACTGAAGCGCCACCTGCCCCAGCACTTGTTGAAGTCGCCACTTTCCCCAAGCCTCGAGGCACCAGTGACGAAGTGACAGGCATGGAGTCAGGTGCGGAGCAGAGTGTGGAGCAGAGTGATGGTGTTGTGAAAGGAAAGCGTACACCAACATGGGACCCTGAGTTTGCTGTTCTCTACAGGGATCTGGGGTGATCGCAGCACCTCAACTTGCGTGCGGGCAACCTGACTGGTGGCTGTAGTAACTGTGTTAGATCGGTAGATCTAACTCTGTAACTGTCAAAAATGTGGTGATCATAAGTGGTGGTGTCTGTTTAATAAACAGTACCGGTGCGACGTTATCCAGTCAACCTATGGAGAGAACAACGAAGTTTGCTTGAAAAATGTTTCAGACGACGAGGGTTCCTCACAGAGGACGACGGTTCAAAAGATGCCGTCCCGAACTGTCTTATCATTTGCAAGCAGTCAATTGCTCCAAGAAAAGGGGCCACGCCACGCGACAAACTTTATGGAGCTGCTCTCGGTTCTGAGACTTCCGTTTGCCCAACTCCGAAGGTCAACCCAAACCCAATCCGCTCCGCTCCGCTTGGCCTCGCCGGGCTTTCTCCATCACTTTGCGAAACTGCGCAGTTTCACGCGGCGCTTCGCGGCGCAGATCGAACGCTCCGGTGTAGTGGTTCGTGCGGTTGAAAAAGGAGCTAAAAGCTGAAAGGGAAAGGACATTGGATCTTTCGATTGATTTGTTTTACAGAAAAATGGAAAAATGGCACCGTACATGGTTTCTTAGCTAAGACCTTCATGGCTAAGACCTTCATGTAGACCAGTTCTTTTGGGGTGACCGAAATGGACCGATTCATTGGTCCGCGAGGCACGAGAAAACCGTGACAACCGGTCGCTTCGGAGGGGCGAGACTCTGGCCGCATCAATCAGTCTCGCAATGACCTTTTACACAAGGAGAAGTCTTGAGAAGTCAATCAGAAGTCAATCAGAAAATGTATGAACATGTCTAAAATATGTGTCTTCTGGTTACAACCCATTCCGATCCCAATCTCTTTTTCCAACTCTTTCCAAGAATTGAACTCTGGTGCCGAGCTCCCGCGCAGTCGTTCTGGGATGCCCTTGGCACCTGCGCCACTCGCGGAGATTGGAAACCACCTAGCGTAGACCTGTTAATGAATTAAAAATGAACAAAAACATAATACAGAGATGAATGTACAACCATTCTGATCATTCTAGTAGGGTTCTGCTTGTTTATTCATCGTCAACCCTCTTCATTCGCCAACAAAATTGAATCACACACCAACCGTTCCCTTTTTCTCCAACGGTTCTCTCCTCTTTCTCCCACGCCCGAAACCTCGAACCTCAAAACGCACCGCACCTCTGCGATGGGTCGAGGTGTGACGGGTTGAAGTTCCGGCCTGGGCGACCGCGCTTCGGGCGACCGCGCGGGTTGACTTGACATGACTTCGCCGCGCGGTCTCCGACCTGTTTGGAGACCTTTCTTCTTTTTTCGTTGGCGGAATAGCGGTCGTTGGCAGTTCCCCCAAAAAGCGTCGACACGTCCAAGAAAGCCCGACATCAAGTCTTCTGCGGCTCCCAAACAACAATGGGTTCATTCATCAGTTCAGCTCCGGAAAGGGTTGCACTAAATGCTCCTCCTCCAAAAACCCGACCGCTGCAGAGCTCCCGGGGTCGGTCGAGGTCGGTACCGCTACCGCTGGGCCCCCGACATCCCCGGATCCGTGTCGTCAGAGTCCTCTGGGTTCGCGGTGTGAAACCGCTGGAAACGTTGGGTAGAAGGAGATGAAGTTGGGTAGAAGAAGAGCAGTTCTTCTTGCCAGGAGCCAGGAGATGCCTGACGTGTGCTATAAGTCCAGTGGTTTGGCATCCAGTTCATAAAGTTGACAAACCAATCACGGCCAAATGCTTTCATCGACCCAACTTCAAAAAAAAAAAAAATGTGATTCTGTTGGAAAAATGCGGATGAGGAAATACTCCATGCAAGTGAACATCGTTCTGCAGCTAAAGACGTTCTGATCTCCTCTTGTAAGGTCAAATCAAAAGAACCAAGAAGGCACTCCTCTGCGGCGACTGCGGCCCTTGCACCTGAAACAACTCGGTTGGAGTGTTCTGTTGATCCAGTCACTGGAAAACAAAAGATCTGTTTGAATCAAGCAAGTTCTTTTGACTCAAACAAACCAAGCAGGTGTGCTTTGGTTAAAAACTGGTGCTTTGTTCCCGACTTATCGAGGAATCTAGTGGATGCACGTGTAGGGAGTTCTACCCATGACCGCTTGCATCGATCGCATCGCAGATTCCGTGCCTGGCGATGGCGGCCTTCGGGCTTGGGCCTGGCAGCTGTAGGTGCCGTGAAAATCGATTTGACCATCCCTGTGACAGTTCCAGGCCTTGTGAACACTGTCTTGTTCCTGCTACAACACTTCCATCCCCCTTCCCTTCCTTCCTTCCTTCCTCCACCCTACGCCACTCCGGCCACCGCCTCTTGACTCTTTTCGCCGGTCATCACGGCGGCCTGGAGACCGAGACTCTTCAGCGCGGTCCAACCGACCGAAAAGGCCCCCAAAAGCGAGACCGACGACACCCACGTCGACGCTCCTTCGGGCCCAATGAGAGATGACCTTCGCCTTTCCGATTCCAAGGGCTTCGCCTTTCACCATCCAATCCCACCTCGAAACTCATCCCGCCATCCTCCACTCCGACGTGAACGCGAGCGCATCGCCGTCGCGTCGGCATCCGGTCGCGCCGCCAGCAGCCCTGCGCGGTCCGTCGGCTCCTCTTCCAAGAAGTTGCGAAAGGAACTCTGCCGTCGCAGCCGGAGCTCCTGGATCAGCGCGCGAGAGCTCGCTCTCGCTCTCGCTGGGTGGATTGGGTGGATGGCTCGAAGGAAGAATGAAGGAGCGGAGGTGAGGTGCCACTTATTTTTGGGCCCCCTCCTGCATCTTTTTGGCCCTGCCTTTGTTTTCAGTTTGAAGAATTTCCTAGACAAAGACTTCTGGAAGTAGACCTCAAAAGCATGCCTGGTTCTACAGGCATTGTATCCCCCTGGAACAAAACAAATTCTTCATTGCAACTTGCCGGAGGGCATGCTCCAGGCGACCCCAATGGCGGTGGCTGACACGTCTAGTGGTGTCTTTTTTCCTGTCCGATCACTCTACATCGACCGATCCGGTACCACTGCAGCGTCTTCATCTCCCTGACGACCAGACGAGGCGAAGCGTGGCGAACCGGGGGCTCCCGAAACTGTAGGAGCTCCGTCTTGAACTGTACCAAGCACCTGCGTGGCCGCACCCGTTGGGGTGTCCAGGCCTGGTATAAAGGATTAGACTGAGAAGGACGAGTTTTCGGATGAGCACTTGCTCATATGCGAGTTCTTGGACAACTCTTCTACTCGCCCTTCAAGTGTTGGGCAAGGTGATGAGTCTCATGTAAAGATAAAAATAGAAACCTTCAAAATGGGCGAGCTTGGCGTGGAGTCTCACCATCCACTTCACCAACCGTTGTTGGCCCTCACGCCGCATGCATCCGATCCTTCTCCCAGCTCAGCTCGGGACGACTGTAGGTCTGCTAAGCTCGTGCATGCGGCATGGCCTTGCACGACGCGGGTCTCCGGGTTCAGACTCGCTTCGACGCTTCGAATCGAACTGCTCCGGGTCTCCGGGTTCGGAGCGGAGCAGAGGTCTTTAGCTGGTCAGATCTCCTCCAAGTCGAGCTGAAGAAAGGGGGGAAGGAAAGGGGGGAAGAAAGGGTCTCTCGTGGATTTGATTGAAGGGGTATCTATACATCTGCAATCATCTGTAATCATCTGTACATCTGTGCCACCCCACCCTTTTTGGGCTGCAACATAAGCAGTTCTTTCTCCTGCAGTTCTTTATCACTTCCAGTCCCGAACTCTTTCCCTCCTGGGCAGCAACTGTCCGCACTCCAGGAAGACGCCATGGGGGCGCGCTTGTTGCGAGATCCGCAAGGGCCGCAAGGGTCCAACTCCAAAAGGCTAGCTGTGGAGATGGTGTCAGACAGCTCAGCTTCTGAGCGATCGGTCGACCGTTTTGGTCTGCCTTCGATGCGATCGAGCTACACGTCCCAATGCGTCACGTTGAGATCTGCGAGAATGAAAGAAGCTCCGGAAATTCAAGAGCTGAGAGCTCATATGCGGGCTCAGTGCGTGAGAGCATATAGTGATTCATGTGCAGATACTGAGCTGAGCTAAACTCGTGTTTTTGTCGACGATTGCGCCGTACTGAGCCAAATTGGCGGCAAATCAGGGCACATCAGCATTCCACTGGGTGAGCCCAGCATTCCGTCTTTGTGACCCCATTCCACTTCGAGGCTACGTCTGTCAATGAACATCCAGCAAGCTCAGGGCCTTTCACTTTAAGACGGATCGCTTTTCTCTTGGGCCCAACGAAAAGGGTCTTTAACCTGATGTTTCTCATGGCTCCACCCACCCAGAGAGGCTTCCTTCGACTCGTTTCTACCCACGAAACACAACGTTCTGTTTCAAGGAGAACGGAAACAAAAACAAACTGAGTTCGACTGGTCAAAGAGTAGGTCAGTAGGTCAAGAAAAGAATCAGCACAACGTGTCCTTCACAGGAAGTGAGTGCAGGACAAACCGAGAAGGAGGACGAGGAGGAGAGAAGCGAGAAGAAGCGGTGTCAAGCACAAACCGAACCCGGTCCCATCCTCCAGTCGATCGACTCTGTCGGAGTCGAAAGTCGGGTTTCAGGGGTCCGCCACCACGAGTCTCCTCTTGAAATCCAATGAAATCTGGACAAACTTCGTTTTTGACCAATTGTTTTTCTTTGTTTTCTCTCCATCTTTCCTCTTGGGTTCGTCTTTTCAAAGACTTGGACAAAGTAGAGGCCAAAGTAGAGGAATGAGATCCTTCTGCGACCGTCTCCACCCCCGGGTCCGTCTCCGGTCCGCGCCCGGAAGATCGCATCAGCGGCACCGCTGAAGCCCCAGCGCTGCGCGATCTGCGGGGGAGTCTTGTCGCCAAGGGCGCCCATGGGGTTGGTAGATGAAATCTGGAAGATAGCGCCCAATGGACTGAACTGGGGCTGGTCAGAAGCTGGAAGTCCCAAGCACTGGAGGGAGTCGTTGGTGACAGGGAGGTCCTATTTCACAACCCAGGAAGCATTTCTTCCGTGTCACCTCGGACAAGTAGACAGATTCATTTAGTAATATGGTGTCATTCATCTGACGATTCATTCAGAAGACATGAACTTCAAGATGCTGTTGGAGGTGTTCTTTTTCTCACCCACCTTATAAACCACCATCTACCGAACCCTTCCAATCTCACCTCAACCACGCTCGCCAGGTCTCCTGGAGCGCCGTGAAGCCGTCGTGGTCCTTCAACCCGGTGCGGCACACGGGCAGCTTGCAGAGCTCCGCGCAGATCTGACGCGGACTCCGACTCCGCCGAGGCCCGAGTGCTTTCGGCTCAGTAAGACATGAGCCTGGGTGTCGACCCCGAACCGAGTCCGCGAGGTGTGGGGACCGAGTCTTCACAGAAAAATCACGAGTCCGACCCCAATTTAGGCCATGAATCACCTGTCGGTCAGCTCCTGTGCCAAGAACAATCCGTTGGCCACACAACGTTGTCCCGCCCAAGGGTCGTTATATCATATATGGTTTTTTAGTCTAATGGTGGTTTAATATATGGTTTAATATGGTTTGTCCCGCCCAATGGTGGTGTAACGTCGCTGTAGGTTTAAATATGGTCTAACTTGGGACTTCATGCCATCTTGGTGCCAAAGCTCCGACTCCTTCGCCGCTCGCCCCGGCTCGCCACCTCTCCACTTCCCGCAAAGGCAGCTCGGTGAAGTGGCCTTGGCGCGTCTTCACTGAGCGCCCTGGTGAGTTGTCCGTGAGAACACAAAGAACAATGAGGCTCTAACGACCATGCACTGCATCTACGCACCGCTTATGTGTTTCTGTGTGCACCACGGGCGTCCCTTCTCGAACGAGCTGCCTTCTGGTCTCGTTTCTCGTCCGCACGTGCTCCTTTTCTGCATTGGGCCATCCAGCCGCGCCAAAGAAATCGATTTGGGGGTGCCATCTCTTGGGCGTCGGGATAACTGGCCAACATTCAGCAAAGCCCATGAGGTGAACGACAAAAGAACGTATGAACACCTGTCGTCCTGTGTCGTTTTTGGAGCTGTGAGCTACTGGTCAATCGTCCCTTCCTCCCGGCAATGTTCAACAGTTGCCGTGGAGATGTTTTACAGCATATAGACAGTGATCTTTTTGCAGCATTTGCAGCGGTCTCATTGGGAGGGGTCAGCAAGTTTCGATTGATCTCAAGCGGAATCCACTGCAGATTGTACATCCACGAGTGGCTCAGTTCTGCTTCGAAACAAAAGGGGGCTGGTGAACATGAACTTGACACTGCTCACATGCACAAAAGAAACTGTGCCGATCGAGGGATGCCCTGGCTCGTTTCCTGGCTGGGTTCCCTGCTCACAGAACCCTCAGCCAGCTCTTTTGTTCTCTGACCCCGCCGCTGGGGGGGAGCGTGCCCCGAGAATGTTGTACTGATGAATGATCCAAATGGCTGTGTTCGAAAACGAGCTAAGAAAATAGACGTCTAATCCATCAAACTGTTCAGGCGGGTCTCACTATTGATGAAACACAACTAGATCAGCAACTTCTTCACGTTGCAAACGAAGGTGTAGTGCTTGCCCTCGCACACTTGGTCGGCCAGCCAAACCTCGGCGGGAAAGCAGATTCAGCAAGATTCTAGGGCGTCCTTTCATGTGGAACCAGATGATTTGTTTCCTGTCAGAAACTTGGGAGTTGGTTGAATTCGAGCT